TTTGAAAGTTGGTTGGTTACCTGGTTTAGTAGCTTTGCAGAGCTCCCTGATAACGCTGACCGGCACGTAATCATCACGTAAAGCACCAGTAATGATCACCACATCAAACCCACCTGAAACCAGAAGCAGACCAGGAGGGAGAGGAGTTAGTAAAAGGAGTTACTTACAGTTGTTAGTTGCAGAGGAGTTAGAGGAGTTAGTTGTTTTGGGGTGAAAAGTTGGCATTGTCACGTTGTGGGTTTTTCTACGTTTTGGTTCCTCTTTTGTTTTGCACTTCTTTCTCGTGTAATGTTCCCATGTTCCTTCCTCTATCGTGTCTTTGCAGTAAAGCCTCCTGTGTTCCTCTGTAAGTGTTTTTAGTTTTAATCTTCATCTCATGGATAGTTTCCTGTTTTACTCTGAGGTTTTTTCATGTCTTGTTTTTGCTTTTACTGTTTGTCTTCCCCCCTCTTTCTTCTGTTTCTGATCCGTGATGTGCTGCAGTTTCAGACCATTATTGAAATAAATATATTTTGAGCATCTAACTAATCAAAATCCTCAATAAAAGTATTTTTTATAATTATAAAATTAAATAGGTAGCAAAAGTTTTGACTGCATCAGCATTAACACCGCCCCCTGACTTTGACGGGTGGGGTTGACAGATAAAATAAATTCATGTTGAGCTGTAGCAAATGAATTATCAAATACTTAATAGTTAAGTAATTAACTATCTTTTAAAGTAAAAAAAAAAGTTATTAATGACCAATTTCATTACTTATGTATTTATTTAGTTTTTTTATTTTGGCACTTTCAGTCCCCCATATTCTATAAAACCTCAGGTGTTGTTATTCTCAATTGTGTTGTTTTACTATCAGCTGGCGGTGCGGTCTTCTTGTCTGTGGTGCTAATGTGTCTGTCGGGTTATCTGCTTTGTTAGCTCAGAGTGTGATGTACCAGTCTGTGCAGGCAGTGGGTCTGTTCCCAGTAAGGCCAGTTTGAGCTCTCGATAAAGGCCACTCTTAGCAGCTTGTTCCAGCATGCCCTTACTACCATCCACTCCCACAAAGTGTTTGAAGCCGAGGTCAAACATCTAAATACAGAGAAAAGACGATCAGTCCTGAGCCTG